CTAACGGGCTAAAAAAGCGAGAATATCGAGTGTTCTGTATGTTCCAACAACCGATAGCCCTGCTTCGACCGCTGATAAGTCATAAATGGCCATCCTAGTCTCCCTAGACTTTACCGGTAATATCCTTCTGCCTATATGATTAGCCGCCTTGCGGCGTAGGCTCGAGTGTGAGCTCCAAAGGCACCATGGACAGACGATTGTAACTGATCGGTGTACGCCCATCTGCAACTGTGTATTCTTGATCAAAAACCAAAAAGACAGCGAGCCTCTAGCGCAGTGGGTAGAGCGTTACACGTCTAACTAACAAGGTCGCGGGTTCAAGCCTCGAGCGGGGCACCGATTTCTGGGGCAACACTTGAGTTGGATATGACTAGTTGACGACGGCTATTACGCCAGAATCGGCCATCCCTGGTCTGTAATGCCCTTTTGCGTGAAGATTCGATGTCTAGAGAGCTAATCCCTTTCATCATTCCCCAACGAAGAGGGGACTAGTTTATGGACAAACCTGTATCAGCACTGTGATGATTCGCTCTTTGAAGCCTGCCATAGTACGTTGGCACAGGTCAGTGTTAATAGTTGGTCTATATCTTCAGTGTTACTGCTCTCGATTTGACACCGTTACCCAGTTGGAGAGTTCGAAGAGGGGGTCAGCTTAACACCTGGCTCGACTCAGGACATGAAAGTGATTCTTGAACCTTCGGTACCCGGTCCCCGGCGTTGACGAAGAGAAAAAATCGAATTGTCCAGGTCTGCCGCCACGGATCATCACGCGTGGAGAGGCGCCATCCAGGACATAATCGAGGCCGGCTAGATCTGGCATGATCGCAGCCGCAATAAGTACCATTAGCCCTACAGGTTGCGAGACCAGGCAGATGCCTGACAACAGCCGGTGATCATTCGGTAAGGTTGCGGCGCGGAGTAGATCTGATTAGTACGATCAAGTAGAGTTGGAATTTCGTGAACAGGTTGTCAGTCATATCAGAAGTAGTTGTTGCGTGTTTGGATCACGTAGGGGTCACCAAGTTGTGGTGATTTGATAAAAATCACTAAGACTGCTACATAATTAACAAAACCATTCAGAAGAGATCCCTTACTCAAGGATAAATTATGATTAGCACGCAGTTGAGACAAAGATGAGTTAGAAAGGATAAAATCAGGATGTCCATCCAGCATGCGCAGAAACTGGGTCAAGACTGGAGGAGTCATGGTGATAGGATGTCGTAATCTACCCCCCGGGTACTGTTTCATGTCAGAAAAATGTCCTCTTTTACTATGCTATCCAAATTGTTAGGAGGACTGCGAGCAGAAGGACATTCTGCTGCTGGAGACACAGGACTCTGTTGTCTTAGACTAGCGACTGCTACCGAGGTGAGACCGGCGACAGAACGCACGTTGCTGACGGACACAGAAGACAACGCTGATGTACAAGCAGAACTAGTGACAGTAAAGTACTATCTGATATTCTGTCTGTCTTCTCTTTCTAACACGCGTTGACACAGGTACATACAAGGTTATAACAATTGGCGACGCGGGTGATCACTGCAGACGCAAGGTTATAACACAAATTCTCCTTCAAGGGCCACTTCATAACTCGAGAAATATCGACCAACAGAGCGACATAGCAATTCCATTCTGACCACAAGATAAAACGATTATACTTTCATTTACAGGCCCTATCTTCTAGCTAGGAACATTTGAAAGAAAAAAGGCACCCAATCATCATTACAGATAGTCAAGAGTGCAAAAGGTGAGAGTACACGGGACCGCTCGCAGCAGTAAACACGCTGCGGGAACTAGTGACCAAAACAAACGAATAAATAAAAGTCAATACTGTTTCGTTTTAAGTAGAAGGAATTGTTCACCAAAATCCGAACCTGTCCAGGGTAGGAGAAAGACAAGGCAATAAGAAGTGACAGGCATAAAGTTCACCAACCACCCCAGTCATCATCACTGGGGCTTTGGGGCTTGGTTACAGGCTGGGATTTTGGGGCAGCAGGTTTGGAGATAGCTCGAGACGCGGCCTTCTTTGAGCTGGACGACAGCAGAGATGGTTTGTTAGCTGGCTTCTGCGCACTCGGCAAGAATTAATCAAAGAAGCTGTCCGGATTGTCTGTAAAACCACTGGTCTTGTCTTGGTCGGCAGTCCAATCAGAAGTCCAATCGGTTGAGGCTGCCGGAGTCGCCATCTTGGCTGGCTGTTTCACAGCGGCTGTCGACGAGGATTTGCCGAAAAACTCGTTTTCTTCTTCATCCACATCCCAGCCGGCAGTGTCTTCAGTTTTCCCGCTGGGGGAATCAACTGCCTTCCAGACTTCTGATTGTCCAGCCTTCGGCACTTTGGGCGAGACCTGGTTAGCGAATGCGGATTGCCCCGGCACTCTGTTCTCGTTCCCCCAATCCCCCCGTTTAGCAACTCCTTGCGACTTCTCATCAAGCCAGTCAGATGTGTCCCAGTCAGACAGGACTGGCTTACTGGCCTTCGGCAGAGTCTCCCGCTTCGCAGGAGAAGGCGATTCGGACAAATCAAGGTCCTCCAACGAACCCCACCT